GGGGGGGGGGGGGGGGTTAGCGAGGAGTTGAAAAAAAGGCGATGTTCGACAACGTAAGAGAGAGTGTGGCAGAGGAGGGCGGACGCCCGGATAAATTCTGCACGCCCGTCTTTACCCCGTGCGATGATTTTCTTCAGCCTATTACATACATCTAGCCATCAACGCTTCGAAAACAACATCGTACAACGTGAGACAAAAACAAAAACACCTCCGTGTTGCTGCAGGCGGGGAAGATATGGAGGAAGGTGTGATACCATGATTTCGAAGAAAAAGAAAAAAAAACGAAACAAAAAAAATAGGGCAGCAGCAAAAAGCAAGCCGCAACAGCAGCAAGCAGCGACAACATCAAGCAGCAACGACTGCAACAGCAACACCCACAACGGCAACAAGAGCAGCAAGCACCTCCGTGTTGCCGCAGGCGGAGGAGAGATGGAGAAGGGTGTGTCGCCGGAAGCGCGGGTCTCTCGGCCTGTCGTATGGTCCGTTAACGCCCGCCTCCAGCAATCTGAACAAAAAAAGAAAAACAGAAAAAAGCGCACACGCCCACAATCGCAGGCAGCAGGCAGCGTTTTTCCCACATGAGCTTTGAAAAGCTGCTATAAGGACAAGAGGGGTGCGTGTCTACACATGGTTTGGATACCAACTACCCCAGAGACAGGTGCTATTAGCAGCTACGACAACAATCATACAGTGCCGTCCTCAGCAATTGAAGCTGCGGGGAGGAAGCGAGAGGGTGTGCCACACAGATGATTGTCAACCAATCCAGAGACAGGTGTTTGATTGTCAACCAACCACATTAGCGGGGCCAAAACAGCAGCATCAGCAACAGCAGCAGGAATGGCGGGCGACTTGCGTTACACTCATCTACCAGCAGCAGCACCAGCACAGCAGGTGGAACAGCAGTAGAACAGTAGTACTGCCATATGTTTCAGGGGTTCCCAGGCCCGTTGACGCAAACAGACTGAATACAGATTTGCAAGTTCTTTATTTTGGTTCGGTGAGGTTCGCTGGGCTCTTCGAGTCGAAAACGCGTCCCAGCTTTTTCTGTTCCGAGCTTGGGAAACGTCACTGATGGCGGCTGGCAGCTGATTCACACCAACACACGTTTTACACTTGAAAATATTTCAACATGCCTTCATGACTCCACTGTTAACCAAACTGCTGTCTTGTTGAGCCTGATTCCCATCCCACAGGGGAGATATCGCTGTGTGCTGCTCGGGAAACCGTGGATATACAGGTATAGCCTGCGCTGACGCCATGGATTCATTGCTGATCTACATATCTTAGACTCTTTTAGATGGATAGAGATAGAAAACAAAAAGATCTTAACACGCGCAAGATATACACATATGTACCACATACCTCCTGATGGTACTCATGTCCCGGGCGAGGCAAGCATGCTCGAAGGGCACCTTCAGCCAATCAGCCCACTGCTGCTCCGAAGCGCCCCGTCGAACCTTGAAAGAAAAAAAAAAAACCAAACGAAATAAGAACAATTAGGAAGCCATTCGGAACCACATGGAAACCTTGGAATATCGTGCTACTGTATCATGCTTAAAAGCGCCCCGTCGAACCTAAAAAAAAGAAAAGAACGAAACGAAATAAGAACCATTCGGAACCACATGGAACACTCGGAATATCGGGCTGGGATGATGATCCGAAGCGCCCCATCGAACCTATAAGAAAGAAAAGAACCGAACGAAATAAGAGCAACAAGGAAGCCATGCGGAACCACATGGAAACCTTGGAATATCGTGCTGGTGTATCATGATGCTCCGAAGCGCCACGACGAACCTTCTTGTTGTGGAATCATAGAACATGTACATGCATTCAATATGCGAAACGAAACAAAAAGAAAAAGGAAGCCATTCGGAACCAACTGGACACCGGCATGTACGTATTCTGCTGGCATGGTACACGAAACGGCAGGATGGATCAAATCTCCCAAACAAGGAACAAGAACAAGGAACACGTCATTCGGAACCAAGTTGACACTGTGGAATGTCATGCTGGCATCGTACTCGAAACAGCAGGATTGAATCTCCCACATCTTCGGGCTTGTGTACCGTTTTCTTGCTAATATGTGTGTTCTTTAGATCCTATGATGGTTCTTTTACCATTTTCGTGACCATGGACCGAGTCATTGCTATGTACGTAGAAGTTGGGATTAGCAACTGACACGACTTTATTGTGAAGAAAACAACAACAACAACAACAACAACAACAACATCTGCCCCGTATCCCTGACACGACTTTATTGTGAAGGAAACAACCACAACGACAAAGTCTCCCATGAATCCCTGACACGACTTTAATGTGAACAAAACAACAAAAACGACAACATCTCCACCGTAAACAAAACCAGAGGAGGAGGAAGAAGAATACTGTACAGCCACTACGAACCACATGAATACCCTTGCAATTCGTGCCGTGCAAAAAATGTAGTTGTAGCAAGTTAAAGAAGATGTATGTTAGGACGTGATGGAATGGACCTGATGTTTGGCTCTGTGAGCAGGGCTGGGTCTTAGTTTTGGCTGAAATAACGCCAAATAAGGGCATGGGAGCTGTATGAGGTGAGGTGGAGACTAGAATGTAAGGATATTGAGAAAGCGTAGGAAAAATTAAACGGTCTTGAGGAAGTAGTTTAGCTTTATGGTTGAATACAGGGATAATTTGGGAATTTCAGCTATTATAGAGAGAGAGAGAGAGAGAGAGAGAGAGAGAGGGAGAGAGAGATGCGACGAATGTCCTCCAATCCAGTGTTCGACTTCCCTGCTGTTCCCTGCCCAAAAAGGCCCAATACACACACGCTTCGATCGCAGACACCTTCCAGATGCGCACACACTCGACCCCACTTGGCACATCTGCACACTTATTTATCTCTACGCGCAATCGGCCACCACCGCCTCACTGGAACCGAAGGAGGGGGGGGACTGGGGTTTTATTTTGCCAGAATTTGATGAAGCACAGACTCAAGCCGCCAGTGAAACCGGGGAGAATTTGTGTAAAAAGACGGCTATGTAGCGATTTGGCGGATACTCGGGAAGTCGATATGACGCGTTTAGCAAATACGGCCGTCGAAGGCCACACCGCTCCAACGACAATAAGAGAAAGTAGGATACACCCCACGGGGTGTATGCAGACTTAGACCTTGATGAGTGAAGGCGTTTGGCTGCGCCGACTGCTCTTCAGGTACCGCCGAATCCGAAGCAACTGTTGGCGAGAACGGTAATCTAAGCCTCCTGCAGAAGATCCGGATAGGGATCCAAGGGGTGATCATGATGATGGGCCTTCGGACATGTGCATATGTCCCCGCGTCGAGTGTTGGATCAGTACGGACATACGAAGGTACTGGGTAGAGAGAGATCGGAACGGTTTTTAATGTGAAGACAACAACAACAACAACAACAATATGTCCCCAGGATGTTGACACCGTGGTTCATGGAGTGTGCATCTGGGGGGACACATGACGCTGGGAAAGTGCAACGGGTGTATCGGGGGACAGGGATGGCAGACAGCCTGCGGCCGTGGATCCGTAGGTGCCACAACATTCTTGTCACTTATCCGGAAGGTGTCGCGGTATACGAACAAAAGCTGGTGGCCGTCGGTGTCTTTGCCGCTTCCGAGCAGACCGGGGCAGCCGATGTCGTTTTGACTATTTGGCCCGTTGCCGAAAACAAAAAAATGACAACGAGCACGCGTTCTTCGCGGTGGTTTTGTTTCGTAAAAAAAAAATGCGGAGGGGCATTCGTCGACAAAAACTCCAAAAAGAATGCCAAGGGCTTTGTGTCGATCATGGTGAGTGAGTGACACCATATTGCGAGGTGGGGGAAGGTCCGAACACCATGTTTGTCTGATCGGGTGCCAGAGTTTGCGAATGAGGCAGCGAAGAATGTGTATAAGAAGTGGGGGGACGGTACAAAGGTTTACCGAAAATGACACAAGATAACACACACCCCCGGGCCGATGTTCAAATCTCGATTTCTCAACAGCACAAAGAGTCACAGCGCCGAAAACGGTGGCGTTGAAGCTGTCCCGTCGAGAGCTTTCCAAAAATGTATTGTTTCATTTATGCATCCTCTTCGTCGCGGCGTAATCGAGCTTTGAAAATTGGTCCACGGGGTGTTCTATCTTGTGTCATACACGGTACTTACTACTCTATTCCTCATCATATCATCCTCAGACGGATGGGATGGTGGAACGGTTCAAATCACACGTTTGTGTCCAACGTGATGGAGGAGCACATAACGATGGTCTTGCTTCTTTCCCAGACGACTGCGGCGGACGGCGCAAAACATCTAGAGACCTATTGGTCTCCAATCGCCCGCAAGAGAAGTTCACGGAAGCTATTCCACTGAACGAGGGCCCTCGGAATCTTCACGAAGAAGCTTGGGGAGAAACCACCCGGACCCGATGGGGACTTGGGACGGCCTGAAACTTCGCTCGCACGTTCCGGGTCGCTTCGGGTCCCAACCGGGTCCGGGTGGTTCTCCCCAAGCTTCTTCGCGAGGGTTCCGAGGGCCCTCACGCGGTGGAATAGCCTCCGTGTGCTTCTCCTGATGGGGAACGGACACAGACAGGTCTCCAGATGTTTTGTGCCGTCCGCGGCAGCCGTCTGTGAAAACAAGCAGACCACCTGTGCTCCATAATACACGCAAACCATCGGGGAAAGACCACCCCGTAGAGATGAAAAAAAAAAAAAACATGTGAGAAAGACCACTCGGTAGAGACGAAAAAACACAGCCTACTAAGACACCTGGTAGGATGGGAAAAAAAGAAAACCAGAGAAAGACTACCCGGTACTGCTGTAGAGAAAAATGACCCCCTTCGATCGAAAAAAATGAGATAAATAAAGTCTATACGACTACGGACGAGGGACATCCACTGCTGGGTGCTGGACTTACATCACTTATTCCAGCAGGAACGAAAAAGTCCCACATGCCACAAGAGCCTTTCATCCATATGCGTGGCGTTAATCAGGAGTAGCGTAGGGTAAACAACTCCACATGCACAGAGAGGTATGTGCCCGGCGCATCGACCGGCCCGGCGCATCGGCCGGCGCTGTTCACAGGAATCGGCGCTGTTCAATATACAGAATTACTTGGTGATTCACCATGTGTCCAGCAATTTCACCCGCGCTATAGAGGACCACCAGCGCTGATCAACCCGCATTGTTGTTGTTGTTGTTATAGACCCTCCCCCGCTGTATGCGTGTGTATTTTGCCACAGAGATTTGTACATAGATATGTGTTTCGTCAAGGAGCAATAGTACGTACCACTCTCTTTGGAAAAATAGGGGCCATTGGGACATTAACGAAAGTATCGAAATGATCCTATTACTACTTCTATTTCCGAACAGATTGGTACTCAACAGCTCCCATAAACGCAAAGGCAAGGACCATGAGTTTTCTCTCACAAACGAAGAGCATGCGTGGTCAACGCTTCCCGTGTGCTCTGAGATTTGGCGGCATGTGTTTCGTCTATAGAAGCAATAGCACATTGAGTCAACAACTCCCATCAACGCAGAGGCATGTACCATGTGTTTTCCCACCAAGGAAGAGAAAGCGTGGTCAACAAGTCCCAAACACAGGAATGGTATCATGGGCATAATACGGGCATGCCTTCACGTTAACATAAGCCCACACAAAACGTTGCATTTTGGAGATAAAGCTGGTGTCACGGGTACGCCAAAGAAGGGGAGTAAGGCTGTGTCGAAGGTGTCGATCACGGCAAACGTCATCAACAACCAACGAAATCTTCCGGTATTCAAGTCTATGTCTTCGGGGGAACCAATCAGAGGCAAGCACGACACAGCAGTTTTGAATACATAGTTGAAAGAAGGGAGGACGAAGGCGTTTACGACGGCGACCACAACGAGGGAAAAAAAAAAAAAAAAAAGCCAACCACATCAACAATCACCAGTTGTGGGGACAGTTCCAAACAGGTTGGACACCGGATTCGCACCCATCATGGCGGCAGAGGCAATGCTGCACTCACCAACAACCACCACTACTGCAAAAAGCAGTTCCGCCTTCGTGGCGAGAAATCAAGTTTATTGAGGAACTAGAACATGGAGGGAAGGGGATGTACGTAGACCCTATCCCTGAACCAACTTCCCCGAACGCATGCATCCAACATGTTCACTTAAAAACCTTGCCCAGGCCACTCGTTTGCATGCTTTATCCAACATCTTCACTTTAAAAAAAAAACTGCAAAGGCTTGTACCGCAACTACCAACAAAAGGCTAAAAACAAGCCAGCCCAGTTTCCACCCCGTTTCCCTCCACTCACTGAAAGGACACGAGCACATCCCGTTCGACTACTGTGCATAAATCTCAAACGGGTACTATATATATAGTCTTTCTGTGAGTTCATGTACGTTGTCCAAAAAACACAAAAAAACGCACCTGAGTGAGTATGAACTCCCCCATCCCGTTGAGAGCGTTACGGTCCGGAGTACGCTGGGCCACCATCGCGCCGGCGGGCCCCCCCCGATGCCCCCCTACCCCCCCGTTAGTGTTGCCGTGCCCCCCTCCTGCGGCCGGCTTCTCTGGGGATGCCATGACTGCAACCACCAGCAGCAGCAGCAGCAGCTGTAAATCACCGACGGACTTCTCGCGTCCAGCCAATCACGGCCAACGTAACTTCGACAGGATCAACAGCCGATGGAGATCACAAGAGGGAGAAGAGACACAACAGGAGCTGCCCACAGCCGAAAATAGAACAGCGGTCACCGAAGAAATTTCTTGGAATTTTCCGTCCGCCTGATCCCCGAGAGTTCAACAATCAGCCGAGCACACCAGTAGCGTCCAAAACTGCGGCGAGCAGAAACGGGGGCAAGGATACCCGGCCAATCAGCTGATGGTAAATGACGATGCCACCCAGCCGAGTGCCTTGTGCGTGTAATCCACACACGGACCTATCAGCCTGAACGAAAAACACGTGGAAACACGACACATACAGGTCGAGCGCGACAGACAAACGAATCAGGGAGGGAGGAAGGGGGGGGGGGGGGGTGAGCAAGACAATACTCAGAGTATACAGATTCTTCTTGGTTCGTTAAGGTTCGCTGGGCTCTTCCAGTCGAAAACACGCCACCCGTTCGAGCTTGGGAAAACTTCGCTGATGGCAGCTGGCCGGTGATCCACACCAACATTTGCTTTATTTTCATCTTGCATCACGCCTTCATGACGCTACTACTATGCTCGGCTGAGAAAGGGACGTCCAAGCCAGCAATATCGGGGAGGGGAGGAGTTTTTGAAATGCGGAAGGGCGGGGGCGTTGGTGTTGCTGCTGCTGTCCTCACCTTAAAAACCCGTTCCGGCCTCTGATCAGTACTTTCAGACGAGCCAACGCACTGGTAGGGTGGAAGGAGAGTTTCGGTTCCCGAAAGGATAGACGAAAAAAAAAATCCCAAACCTAGCATGGTACGGTTAGGGTCCGTGCTTAAGACCCTCTTTACCTTAGACGAGGCTTATTTCTTCTGTTGTCGATGGGGTACACTGCTGTACTGCTGTAGCACCGTAAGGTTGCGAGTCAGCGCACAGGGGTGCGAGATATATTTTAAGCGTAATTTCTCCACAACCAGAAGGGCGCGAGCGCCAACTGATACTTCTCGGGAAAGCTCTCGACGAAAAGTTTCCAAAACCACCCTCTTTGAAAGTGGTAACCTCCTGGTTGTGCAGAAATACGCTATAGAAAAACGTTAACACGGGGGTGCGACAACACGCACAATTACGGTACTATAATAGGCAGGAGCAGCAGTGCCGGTGCCGAAAACGGCGGCGTTAGAACTGCTACTTCGAGACCTTTCCGTAAAAACGTATCCTATCAATTGCTTAGGGCATTTTCCTTTGTGGAGTAATCGAGGTTTTGAAAATCGGTCCAGGGGGTGCGGTACCTCATGCAACCTACCCTATACATATATATCCTTGCTGCCGTACTGGTGCTTGTCAATTACGGCGGTAACCAACAACACCAGCGTGCACAACCAGCTGTTAAGCTATGCATACCACAGGATTGTTGTTCTAATCATGCTGTTGTTGTTGTTGTTGTTGTTGTTGTTGTCTTGACATTGAAAACCGCGCTGATCTCTCTACCCAGTACCTTCTTTCCGTACTAGTCTAACGCTTGAAGCGGTCGATTCGTTACGATAGTTAATCTAAGGCCTAGGTCGCTATTGGGTGAAAACCGAGCTCGTGCAGGCTATGCCTACAGCAGGGTTGTCAATCTGTTGTGGTTCACTTCTAGGTCGACCGTGCGCGGTAAACAGTGCTCGTGCAGGCTATGCATACACCAGGGCCGTTGTGTCAATCATGGGTTCATTCAATCAGGCCTACATAGGTCGCTCTTGGGTGGTACTACCGTAAACGGTGCTCGTGCCGAGCTGGCTGTATAGGCGAGACTGTCAAATGTTGGTGCATGGCACACGAGCGTGCCCGTGGGTGAATCTAATCTTCCTGCTGTGCTGGGTTGGTGGCTTCGTGCACACGAGCGGGCACAACCGGTCGTTAACTCTACGTAGCATACACCGCGGGGTTCGCCGTTAGTTCTAATGGTGGTTTATGAAAATTCTACAGATAGACCGGTCATAATGGGTTGGTGGCTTCGCGCACACGAGCGCCTACAACTGGTTGTCGATGTATGCATACCGCAGGGTTCGTTGTTCTATGGTGCTTCATGGAATTAGAATACAGATCCTTCATGTTGGGCTGGTGGATTCGTGGACGCCCAATCGCCTGCCTACCTCAGGGTTGTTTTTTCTACAAGAGTGGGTCATTCCATCCTACAGATAGACCCGTCATGTTGGGCTCGTGGTTTCCTGCACGCAAGACCGGTTGTTAATCTACAATGCTACTAGCGTAGGCAGGGTTGGTTGTTTTAGAGGTGGTGCATGAAGTTCTTCAGAGAGATCCGTCGGGTCGGGTTTGATAACCTACGCATACCTCAGGGTCGGTTGTTCTAATAAATAGTGGTTCGTGCAATTTCTACAGATAGACCCATCACGTTCGGCGGGTGGTTTCCTGCACGCAAGACCGGTTTTGCTAATTCATGCATATCGCAGGGTTGGTTGTTCTAACAGCAGTGGTGCATGAAATTCTACAGGTAGATCCGTCGGGTTGGGTTTGCGGCTTCGGGCGCGTACAGCCGGCTGTTAACCTACGCAAAACCGCAGGGTTTTAGTTGCGGTTCTTTGTCACTATTATTATAGTGCTTCGAGACTCGTCATGTTTGGTAGTGGCTTGCGGGCAAGCACACCGTGCGCATGGGCGCGCGCACAGGCCGCTTGCGTACGCTGTGCACCAGGTACCTTACGTCATGTCGGGTTTTGTTGCGGTGGGTACAGGCAGTGATGATGACACATCTTCTCAGAAACATCTACAGGCACACCACTTAGACCACAAGGGTCGTTGCGTGTATCAGAAAATCATGGTTCGTTAAATTTTATGCCTCATGTCGGGGGTGTTGTGTGGCTTACGGGCAGAGAGGGGGACGTGTCGTGTGATTGTTCGACAGGGTGTGTGAACGGCGGTATGCCCCACGGAACAGAAGGACGGGACTGCTTGCTGCCGCTAACGCCTGTATAAACGTACGTGTTATTATCTATTCATACACGAAGGCAACCAAAACACAGAACCAACACCAGAATTCTTACCGCACGTGTGGTGTGTTTCTGCAATTAGGTTGAAGGACGGCCCAAAGTGAGAACATTAACATTTACGGGCAGTTAAACGGTGGGAGGAAAAAAGCCTCCCTTCCATCTGTTACCGCCGCTCTCCGGAGCAGCCGCCACGGCGGTTGAGCCATGCATACTACACCACGCTGCGTACACTCGCGGCTCCGATATAAGAGGGCCCGAATCGGTTGTCACGACGTGGACCCTCAACAGCATAATTGAGTACTCTCTTAATCCGGTACAGGAGGGGGCTTCGATATAAAGAGGGCGTCGAGCCGTTGTCGCACCACCCTCTTGCTTCAACAACGGCACCACGTCTGTACATGTATTGTATAGCATGCATGTTGCGGGATCGGCTTTTGGCGCTCTGGTGGCGGCAGCAAACGTGAAATTGATTGTTACTGCTGCAGTCTAGCCGCTGGAACGATACTGTAGCAGCAGCAAGAAAAGCAGATTCAGCAACTCACGGGCATTTTTTACACACCCCGCCCAAACGTTGCTACTTCAACTCAAAACGCGCACCAAAAGCACCATCAAATACGCGCATGGTAAATAAAGGTCATGCGTTGCCACAAAACACATCAGCAGTAGCAGCGTACGCTACAACGACCATTTAGCAGCAGTCAGCCATTCGGTGTGCACAACAAGAGTTGTGGCGAAAAAGAACAAAACCACACCACATATAGGCGCGAAGACACCGTGTGGAAAACGCGCACGGGAGAGGACGGTATGTCTTTCAGCAGCAGTGAACAGCGGCTGTTCCACCCTCTCTATTTTCAAGTGTTTTCGTTGCTTTCTCGTTCTGTGTTTGTTCTGGGCTGACCGGACAACAGGGTCCCCCCCGCCCTGCTGCCGCGGGAAGAGAGCCGGTTGCATGCTACAACACAATCGCGGGTATTATACAGCGCGTGTCTACGCCAAGCCAGCAGCTACATGATTTCTGTTGCACGACGGCCCCTTTGGAGGGGGAGGTACATCGCTATGAAGGTAGAGCTGCTGATTTTCTCGATGGTGATCAGAGAGCCAGGTCTCGAAAGTCGGGTCAACTTTCTGCAGCCTCTCCCAAAAAATAAGTAGAAGTGAAATGTCTTGTTCTGTGGATACCACCCACACACCCCGCGTTTTTTTTGTGCAGGTATGCGTACCTCTTTCTCTCGGCACGGCTGTGGCACCACCCCGCTATCTTCGCGCGGGCGCGCGCGCGGTTGGGGGGGGGGGGGGGGCACTGCTGACTACCCACAGCAGCAGCACTGCTGCATACCACGGCACTTGAAGCGCTACCTACGCGCTGCTGCTGCTGCTGTTGCGGCGGCAAATTCATGCCGGCCTTTTGTTGCGTGAGATACAAACGAAGAGACATACAAAGCGCCACAGCAAATTGCTGCTTGTCGCTGTTGGGCGAAAAAACACAAAGGCCCAGCATTTTGGTGATGATGATGGTGATAAATAGTGAGAGACGAGAAAAACGGCACACGTCAAGGAACAATACAAACACCATGGGCCAGAAATGCCCACACCCTCCACGCGCCCTTGGTCATGGCCGACCTGCATACAAGACACCAGACGTGTCTTCAATCTGTTCACCGGTGTATAATGAGTGCGGGTCACGCAGCTCTCCGCCTGACGTACCACACAGCTTTTTTGTCGGAGATGGTGGCTGTTGTGGGCACAGACTCATCATGATAGCGGAGGAGAGATACACAGCACCGCCTTGAGAGCAGGCACTGCTGCTGCACACAGTGCCACCCGCTTCTAAATCGTGCGTCAGAGACAACTGAAGATGATGCTCATGAAAGATTGAGAGAGAGAGAGAGCCATAGAAAGACACATGTGTGTGTGGTAAATTCGATGCGAGCTCTTCTCTTTTTCCGAGACAGTTTGTTGGGAAGTGAGACTTTTTTCGATTTTCCCTCTTTGCCGGTGCGATTTTTTTGTCAACGGGAACCTTTTCTACGGCACCCTCTTCAAGGGAAGACAAAAGTGACATACTAAACGAAATCACTGCGTACACGCAGCAGCGGCGGAGAGCAAAGGCCGAGACTCTCTCCTACTGGATGGTAAGCTGGAGGCGTGATCGTAGTAGTGGTTTGGACCAGTCACAAAAAGCGGATGCTGCAGGCGCCATTTGCATGCATCACCCCGTAAAAGCGTCTCTCTCTTGTCCTTCTCCCTTCTCTATACCCCTGCTTTACGAGCAAGCAACAACACTCTTAGGAACACTCACCCCTTTCCTCCAAGCGCCCACTCCGGGCCTCTGCGCTGCGATCCAAACCAGCTCGCCGCGCCTTGCTCGCGTCTTGCCTCTTTCGCTGTCGCTGTTGCTATGTATGTCGAACGCTGCCGGCTCCCAGCTCCCAGAACAACAACTTTCTGCGAGAAGGGGCCCCGTAGTTTCGAGCAGCACGATTTGCGGGGATATGACCGTTAAGAATTTTACATGCATGCAACGCGCACAGCTTGCCACGCGGGACTTGAGCTGCAGTGCATCTCCCGCGCGTGTGTGTGTATCACGAGGGTCCCACGTGAGGCAAGGAAGTAGCTTGTTCCATCGTGTCGGTCGCCCCCTAACTCCTCCGGTTTCGCGAGAAAAGGACTGCAGCTTGGATACTCCGAGCTGCTGCTGTACCTGTTGCGCGGGGTCCTTGCCCAGAAACCAAACATGTGCAGGTTGGGAGGTCCGAGGGTCCAAAAGTAGGCAGCGTTTGCGACGGTATGTTTTAGCGCTTCGTACGGGTGGTATGTACGCAGAAGACAAACTGTGCCCAGTGTGTATCACGTGAGGCAAGGGCGTAGCCGGTTCCGTTATGTCGTTGGCCCTCTATCCCTCCGCTTTGTTGGCGAAAAGGATTGCGAGGCTTGGATACCGTGCTGCAGCATCGGCCGCCAGGTGAGGAAACATGTGAAAGTCTGTACGGTACAACAGCTGCGACGGTATGCTGCGACGGTATGCATTACGATAGGTATGCACACAGAGGACAGACTTGGCCCCGCGTGTATCACCTGACAGGGTTTCCTCAGAGCCGCTGCTGTAAATTTCCATGGTGGGATTACAGCGAGCGCCCGCCAATTTGCGCCCGCTCTTACTCACGTGCAGCAGTATGTGTAAGAACTTGGCAGTTGAGAAATTGACAGCCTCAAGAAACTCGAACAACGTGCGAACTTGAGCACCAATTTGTGATCTCGGATAAGAACACTAATAAACCTGTATAGCGGCCATTCGCACCATGACCCAGGAATACAGTAATAAGAACCCCAACCTCGGCCAAAACTAGAGATTATTTAGCGAGGGCGCTCTGTATCTCGAATCCCGGAACGGATACTTGCCTGTAGATCTAGGCGCCCTGGAACTGACTGTACTGCTGTACCGGTTGCGCGCGTAGTAGTGCGTCCACCGCAGTACAGCATTCTACTACAAGTGTCTTGTCAAAAGAAACGAACTTTATCTCACTCTTTCTTGCATTTTTTGCAGAACCCGTCATTGGCCAGACAACGGGAACGGACAACGCAAGTAAAGTTTGGGGGAAAAACCGTGAATGGGGGGGGGGGGGGGCAG